TTTTTTTTTTTTTTTTTTTTTTGGTACCGGGGATTGAATTTGGGTCCTTGTGCTTGCAAGGCAGGCCTCCGAACCACTGAGCTAAATCCTTGGCCCCAATGTTAAGATTTTTTACAGGAGAGAAAATACCAATTATTTTGGCAAAATGGATAAGATGGTTTGTCCAATTTTAAGTGGATTGTGTGCATAGTCTCACTATCTTGTTTACTACACTTACTAAAATGATAGTTGTACCTGACTCATAAATACATCTGAGTGTACTTTGGTTTAAAACACATCTCACGTGTGTTCGTCCATCTGTCTGTTCAATTTGTGCCAATGATTGGTTGCAACACCTATAGCTGTTTTATTTGAGCTCAACAATTTTGTTTTCTTCTTTTTGCCTTTTTTTGAGATTTCCATGGAAAATAGTTTATATAAGTTAAAAATATTTATATTTACAACTTAAGTTGGAGTATAGGTAAAATAAGTGTCATTAAAGTTAAGGACATATTTCTACTGGTTGCCAGCCAATCAAAATGATGTTGAGACTAGTTTTGTGAAGGCAACGCCTATTGTTTGTGTACAATAACTTGGGAGTCTTTTATTGGTCTAAAATACTGTGTTAATTGTTAGGATCTATTTCGTATAGGTCATTTAAAGCAAAAATATTCTGGTAAGATAACTAAACGGGGAGCTTTTGGGCTTGAAAACACTGCTGGACAAGACTTCCCATAGTGAATAAAGGAGCACATTTATTCCTTGTCATACTAAAGAACCTAGACTATTTTTGTCTCACTCAACTGTAACAGTCTGAATATAGTTTCCAATCGTAACTAGCAAATCAATGTGGAGAGGAGACAAAAATGTTTGGTCACTGGAGCAGTGCTAATGGTCCTTTCAGATTTTGAAGTCTCTCTGGCATATAACGTGTGGTTGAAAAGTCATGTAATGGCTACCACTGCTTCTAAAGGGCACAGGTACTTACTAACCCTGGTGCCATTAAAAAAAAAAGTGTGTGCGCGCGCGCTCTCCATTGTATAATCAACCCCAGACTCTGAGGTGTTTTTTTTTTGTTTTTGTTTTTGTATTTTTTTTGGTACCAGGGATTGAACTCAGGACCTTGTGCTTGGAAGGCACAGTGCCCCAGAGCTAAATCCCTGGGCCCCTGGCTCTGAGGTTTTAAACACGACTTCAGCACTGAAACTTTTGATATTTTTAGGGTATCAGAAACAATGTGGTCTCAAGCTTATCAAATCAAAGGCTGATTAGTGGAGCAGAGGGGAGGTGGCAGAGGTAGTAACATCGACTCAACGTGAAGTTAAATACTATTCTAAAAGTAAAGTTTTCTCTCATGTCCAAATGAGTCTGAGAAATGCTGAATTAAACAAAGCTAAGCAGGTCTCCATTATTGTGGGATTTCTCAGAATATTTAGCTAAAATGTTAATATGATTTTCAAATATCATATGCATAATTTCCAAAACATAGGTGACTTTGGAAATTCTTTTTTCTCAGAACATCTTGAAGAACTAGTATTCCATGGACTGTTTGGGGAAAAACACTGCTTGAGGCAGAATAAATCAAGAAGAAAAAAACTTGAAAAAATTGTCTCAGAATATAGAATTCAAGTGGTTTAGTTTATCGAGTTTATTTATGTAGAATTCAAGTGGTTTAGTTTATTTTAATAAATAAAATCACAAACAGAAACTAGATAAGTAATTTAAAACCAGAAATTTTATTAGAGTTGAAAAAAGCTACAAGCCAGTAGAACATAAAATAGAAATTTCAAGTTGTCTCTCAATTCCTGAGCAATATAAACTCAGACTGTTTCAAGGACGAATCTTTAATTTTTTTCTTTTTCTTTAGGCCAAGGATGTGCCTATGGGCCACCTGGTTTAATTTTAGGAGGAGGGTTTATAAAGATGCTTTGGTATTACTACTTCTCAAATATACCCACAGAATAATGTCAGCGGCTGAAAAGCAATGCTAATTCCTCATTGGTAGTCTCTTATAATTCATAAAATATATAGTTTGTGTGTTAAGAGTACATTTTGTTCCTTCGTGAGACTCAATACTTGAATGATTTTGATTGAAAAGTAAATGCTGGCTGCATGCATTTTTTCATTTTCCTCGGCTTACATTCAGGTCAAAAAGGTTACTATTGCTAATGTCCATCTCTGCTTCTGATCAAAAACTTACATTTATTAACAGAAGCTCTTGAGAAGTTTTGGGGAAATGACTGGAAGTGAGCATTTTTCTAATTTGTGCTGGCCTGTCTTACAGAGAAGACTCTGCCCAGGCTGGATCATTGGATTTGCCTTCCCTGGCTTAGAGGGACCCTGTTATCTCCCACAGTGTGGCTGACAGGCCCCAAGTCCATAATTCATGATGATGTGGGAGAGCTCTCTACACACATCTTCTCATGTGAGACCTTAGAAAAATTGTACCATTTCCTTCAGTTCCATAACTAACTCCTAATTGCGCTGGGAGGAGTAAAATCTCAAATCCCTAGGCAGTGTGGTGGTGCATGTCTCTAATCCCAGCACTTGGGAGGCTGAGGCTGGAGGCTGAGGGAGTGTGCCTATCCTACTTGAGTAGATTTAGAAGATTCTTCCAGAGAGGAAAACTGTTAAGAGTAAAAACAAAAATTACAATGCTGGCAGGACCTCAGATTTGAGTGGGAGAGTGGCAGGATGAAGCTTTGGCATTATAATGAATGGTTTACCTAGATTATCAATGGCCAGGGATAGTGGCACATGCCTGTAACCCCACCACTCAGGAAGCTGAGACAGGAGGATCGCCTTGAGTTCAAGACTAGCCTGAATTACATAGCAAAACCCTATCTCAAAAAATAAAACAAAACAAATGTTAGTTTATGAGTGAGGCATCTAGGGGAAAGGCCCAAAACAGAATTGGCTAATCAGCCATACTGATGGGAATGGAAATAAGAATAGAAAATGAACTAGAAGCCCAGCGTGGTGGTGCACACCTATAATCCCAGCTCTCGGGAGGCTGAGGCAGGAGGATCGCTGTGAGTTCGAGACCAGCCTGGGCTATATAGTGAGTTCCAGGTCAGTCTCAACTACACAATGAAACCTTGTCTCAAAAAAACCAAAAAACCAAAAAAAAAAGAAAAGAAAAGAAAAAGAACTTTAGACCAAGGATGAACTTTCTCAGGCAACATGGACTGTATCCTCTCCTTACTAAAGGGAGATGCAGCCACTCCCTACTAAATTCCTCACTTTTGAGGAATTAAAATACAAAAATAACATTTTTTTTCCCACTAAAATTCCAGTTTCCTCTATACCATACATGTTGAAGAACTGGGTTAGAGAACTCAAGTTCCAATCGCTCATTTTCAATCCTCAGAACCACCCGTGACAGGTTGCCACTGAGCAGCTGAGCAATTCCTGCGCTCTGCTTATCTATCATTAATTAGCTCTGGATGTGGGGGATTGGGGGGGTTGCGGCCACCCACTCAGGACCCCTCCTGGAAATCCAGGAGCTGTTCCTGCTCTTCTTGTTTCCACCTAACTCTTCAAACCTCCTCCTTTGGTTTGAGACTCAACCCCTCAATGTGAGACCAGGAGCTTGGCACATACGCTAACAGTATTATTTGGAGTTCCGAACACCAAGCTAAGATTTGGTTTTAGTCTATTATTCAGTGTTTCCCAAACTGAAATAAAGTTCAGACCTCTTTGCCTGGCATGGTGGAGCACGACTGTAATCCCAGCACTCAGGAGGCAGAGGCAGGAGGATCGCTGTGAGTTTGAGGCCACCCTGGACTACATATTGAGACCCTGTCTCCAAAAAAAGTTCAGACTTTTTTTTGATGAAAATTGTCTCAAAATCCCTGATGTTGACTTACATATAATATTAATTACATATGCACATTCATAAAATAATGTACAATACTGTAGCACTATAAATTTACAGATTACATACATTCAAGACTATAAAATCAACATAACAGTAATTTATTGTGAATATTTTTTGTTGCTGAAATGAGACACAATTGCTGTCAATCTTCCCTTTCCTCCTGAACAAGCAGCTAGTATTGAACACTTAGTTTTTCTTTTGACCAGTTTGATGCTGCGTGTTCATGTAACAGTACTTCAAAAATTTAAGAAGTGCTGGGGGTGGTGGCACAGGCCTGTAGTCTCAGGCGAAGGAGGGTCACCGTGAGTTCAAGGCCAGCCTGGACTACATAGTGAGTTTAACACCAGCCTGGACTATGGAGACCCTGTCTCAAAAAGCTAAAACAAAACAAAACTTTACAAAATTTAAAAAGCAGTTGTTTTTTAAATTTCATATTGACTGTTTACCCTTCCTGCTCCTGTATTCAGGTAACAATGAAGCAACAGGGGAAGTCTTTGCTACAAAGATGGGATGTATGTAGCACTTTCCTTTATAACATGAATACGTGCTGTGACCCGCAACATGATCATACAATCGTGTACTTGCTTAGAGCACATCTTTTCTATGGAAAATACTGTGAGCCCCTGGGGTCATTTAGTTCTCATTTAGCATTGTCAGGCATTAAAAATTTTCATTTGCCTGTGGCTATTGAAGCAGCACATTCTTCTTTCACAGTATAGCATGCCTGCCATGATGTCAAATAAGAGACTCAATTTACTAACTCACTTAAGAAAATGAAAATGCCTTTCCTCGTAAAGTTGATCTGCAAGAGGACCTTTGTCCTTCTAACCGGCAGAAACGTTCGACACGAGCGCCACAGCAGATGTGGAGAGGCTGGGGTAGCCAGCTCTCTTCTGTCACGCATGGGCCACTAGCCCTGCGGTTCTTCACTCAGGAACCTAAGGTTACCTTGACCCTCTCTCATCTGTCAACAAGTTTTGTTGATTTTACCTCTTAAATTTCTCGAGTCCACCCACTTCTTTTCCACCACAGTCCTAGTCTACGCCTCCATCATCTCTTTCTTGAAAGACAAGTTACTCCTAGCAGAACTCTTCTCTTCAATTCTAGACATTTCTCCTTTCTTCTCTAGTCTGCCAGTCTCTGCCATTTGCAAAATGTAAGTTTCAGCTCCCAGTCCTCTCCCTAAGTCACCTTTTAAGTAGCTGCTTTCGCTCTTATTTCAACTGGGCTGTCGTGGGGTCTACACTGTCTTGGGAAACATCCCCTCCTCCTATCACCGCCTGGCCTCTCCTCTGCCCACCCACACACTCTTCACTTTGCTAACTCCTACTAACCTTTAGAGGGAGCACATTCCTTCCTTTTCTATACTTTCTATACAATTGTTATTTAAATTTTTTGTTTGTTTTTTGAGACAGGGTCTCACTATGTAGTTGAGACTGACCTGGAACTCACTATGTAGCCCAGGCTGGTCTCCAACTCACAGTGATCCTCCTGCCTCAGCATCCCAAGTGCTGGGATTACAGGCATGTGCCATGGGGCCCAGCATTATTATTTAAATTTAATTAATGTTTACTTGGGACTCTTAGCCTCGTGAGGGCAGGAAACTTGGCTGTTTGGGCTGCATTGAGTCCCCATCAAATATTGAAGGAATGAGTGTCTTTAGTACAGCACATTAATGTTATTTTAAAATACAAACAAGTTTGTACTGCAACATAGATTTCCTAGCTCTTTGCCTGGAGGTGGTTTGCATTACCAACCCTACCCTCAACACAACACAGACACGTTTCAAATTTTGTTATCGTGTATTATTCGCTGAATCTCATTTCCCCACGGAGCTGTAAGGTTTTCTCTGACATGGATCAAATTTACATATATGCACGAGTCTTCTTTCCATGTCTCTCGATGGAGATTACCATGTCAGTTACTTCAGCTTTATGACGTTAGCGTCTTCACTAACTAGCCTGACTGAAGATAAGACAAGTTACTTTTACCTTATTTTTTAATCTCTTAAGTGAATAATCATAATCCACACACAAAAGGTTGTTTAAAAGAAACAAGACTGGCATGTAAAGCCCCAGAAAGAAGCAGGTCAGGGTGGCGCACGCTGGACAATCCCAACACTCGCTGAAGCAGGAGGATTACCCTGGGTTCGAAGCCAATCTGGGCTAGACAGTGAGCTCAAGGGCAGCCTGAACTATACAGTGAGACTTTGTTTCAAACAAGCAAACATATAGCCCCAAATAGAAAATAAAGGGTCGCCCTTACAATGACGTTGAAGAAACAGATAAAACCGCAAAATAAAAAGGATCGAGCCTTCTGGGAGCCCAATTCCACTTTTAAAAAGAAAACGATGAGTTAGCATAGTATTTCTAAGGGTGCTGGCGCTTTTAAAACTGCGATCCTGGCATCTCAGTATCTAGAAACCAGGCAGCTCATTATTATACGATGGGCATTTGGGATTAAAAATTAGAAATCTTTATCATGCATTCTATGCAGAACGCAGGGTGGAATCAAGAGCAGGTGAACCTAGGGGCCACACAGACAAGATTGGGGCTCAAGACTGTGCCTTGGACCCCACTAGGTACAGAAGCAGGCTGCGACGACCTTCACGATATTTTCCGGCACGTGAACTGCCTGAAAGGTTGAGAGGCCCTGCCCACGAACAGCGGGCCACCTGTGACCGCAGGGCCACCCGCCACCCTCCCAGCTGCCCACTGGGACACACGCCCGCAGAGAAGATTCCAGACCCGCTAGCAGAGGCAGAAGGACGCGGCAGCGCCGGGAGCGCGGCGAACAGCGGAGCAGCCCGCGCCCCTTCCCCGGCGTCACCAGGGCTTCTGGGAAATGTAGTCCTGGGCTGTGTTCGGAGCCGGGGAACGCTGAGAACATGACTACGACTCCCTTCGGCCTTGCGCGAGCTGAGCGCAAGGCGCCTGCGCCCTGCGGCGGCCGATGTCGCTATAAAGGCTTGTTTTGCTCCGATGCTGATGCTCTGGAGCTTGGTTGAGTGGCCGGCTCTCCTGTCTGGGGGCTGGGGCGCAGGTAGGTGACGGCTCCGACCTTACCTCTACCGTGTCGCCCCGTTGTCATTGGTCTCGCCCCCTTGCGTTTTTCCTCGAGGCGAGCTGTGTGTTTCGAGATCGAGCAGTTTGGGGAAGCCGAGCCCGATAAGCGGGGCCTGGCGTCTCTTCAGTGTCCCGCCGCACCGTCCTCGGATTAAGACCCCTGGGGGCTCGTGGTGGGATCCTGCGTTGGAAGGGGCACTGGTGGGTTTGGAATGAGTGCTCGGCTGCCTGCTCCATCCCCGGATGCCGCCACCAGGGGGTGCTACGTCCGCGGCCCGCGGGTGTGGGTCGCAATCTCTGGGCCGGTCCGGAGCGGGCGGTGGGAACGCCCTATGGCCGGGGCTACCCGGCGAGGCTGGCCTGGGGGAGACTCTTCTCCTGAGCTTGTGGGTGGGAGGCCGGGAGCACCCGCGCAAGCCGCGGACCCCGAAAGCACCCTGATCTAGCAGACCGGTAGATGGAGGTACGCGCCAAGGCACGCATCGCAGCCGGGTGGCAGAGCCGGGAGTGGAGCCCAGATCTCTTGACTGTCATCCGATGCCCTTTTTACCCGTACAATTTAGGGCTTGCGTGTTGCTTTGCATTTCTCACACCGGGTTCGTTGGGTTTCCCCACACACGTAGGCAGGCTAGAGGCAGATGGCGCGCAGGAAGGATCAGGAAACTCTCAGGTTTTGAAGGAGATGAATGGGGTATAGCGGATAAGGGGGGGGGCGTGGTAAATACGTGACCTTTTAGCTCTGGAGCTTCCCTGTGCAGTTGTAGCCCTGGAGCAGGGTTCCTGGGGTGCCGTAACCCTACTCTGGAATGTAGTGAGGAGGGCTACAGTGGTGTAGTGGAGACGCCAGTCTGGCTGGTTACAGTTGTCAGGGTTCTGCACAGCCACCTCCCCCGTGTCATCTAGTCCTACCGCTGTACCCGGAGAAAGCCTACCCTTTTAGCACGGGCAGGAGTCCCGATACAGAAGGCAGCAGACAGGGAACCTTGCCCCTGTCAAATCTGAGTCTGGGCACTTACTGGGGGGTTCTCTTATTTTGATTACTGTGCTGTTTTCCTTGTACAGCTCCGTTGAGAACCTTCAACAGAAGTCTCCTTTTCTTGCCCCTGTTGATAGCCAGGCAACTTAGCCTTTGGAAGACTTTCCATTAACTTAAAGAGGTAACACCAGAAAACAGGGTACAAATAGTATACAAAAAAAGAACACGTCCGGCTTCGTGGTCTTTCCTTAGTTGCTTGCTTTATGTTGAGGGATGGGGCCTGCTGCTTTTCTCTAATCCTAACTGGCTTCCTGCCTGTCATTTCCCTAAGACACAGAGGACAGTCTCTCCTCCTCAGGCCAAGAAGAGACAGTAACTTTGTGCCTGTTCAGAGCTTGCTCACTCTCGTCATGACTCTGCTTGTTTTTCCAGGAAATTAGAGGTGGGGGTGTTCGAGATAATGGGAAACTGTACCCATACCCCTCTTAGGTGACATAACCTGGTCCTTAAGGATAATGTAGGATAGGCCCCTTAGGGTAGGTTGCTGAAGTCCATGTCTTATACCAGTCACAATAGGCACAAAATACTTTTTTTTTTAATTGTAAAGGAAGTGGTTTCATTCCTGCCACTCTGGTCATTCATTCCACTGATTCTGCTCCATCCTTTGAAATAAAATGATTGAAAGAATCTGGCTAGATAATTGAGTTTTTCTTTTTTTAATTTTTAATTTTTAAATTTTTTTTTTTTTTGGTTTTTTGAGACAGGGTCTCGCTATGTAGTTGAGACTGACCTGGAACTCACTGTGTAGCTCAGGCTGGTCTCGAACTCACAGCGATCCTCCTGCCTCAGCCTCCCGAGCGCTGGGATTACAGGCGTGCGCCACTACACCCCAGCTCTGAGGTGTTTTTTTTGATGTGGCACTTAGTGTAATGAACAGATTCCACTGGCCTCCCTCACTCCTTTCTGCCTATTTTTACAGTGGGACTAATTTTCCTCTTTCACACACTCAGCCAGGTGAGGGAATCTTTGAGGGGAAGGTTGGACTTCGTGAGCCCAGTAACAGGAAAGGTTCCCTTATCTGCAGCTGACAGGGGAGATGGCAGATGCCAGGTCTGTTTATAGTTTAGCCTTAATGAGTTCTCAGCGATGCCGTCACTATGCTCTTGCTTAGTAAGCCGAGGTTCTTGTGCATTTGTCATTGGCAAGGTGATTTTTTTAAAAGATAAAACTTAGCTCTATCAATTTAGGGTACTCAAACCAGAATTAGGACAAGGAGGGAGTCAAACTACCTTTGTGTTGCTAACTTGTCTCTGTGAAGCACGTTTAGTCTCGTATTTAAAGGATTAGTAAGTATTCCTTTTTGATTCCTTAAAAATGAATTGTAGTTGTCCGAATTTTGTTCTTGCAGGAGTTGTTTTTAGTCACAGTGGCAGCTGGGAATTTACGGACTCCAAAAGGCAACACAGCTACACTTCTTTAATTTCTAGTGAGGTTGCCATGCATGGTGTTTTTCTCACCTATATCTGGAAAGCTACGAACCTTCTGAAAGTGGAGGAAATGATTTAGAGTGGCATGTGGGTGACGTTTTTTATTTTTTATTGTATTTTATTTTTTGAGACAAGGACTCACTGAGTAGTTCAGGCTGGCCTTGAGCTCACTGTATAGACTAGACTATCCTCGAACTTGTGATCCTCCTGCCTCAGCTCCTAACGGCTGGGATCATAGACATGTGCCACCACGCCTGGCCTTCGTTTTATAAAAGTGGCCAGAGTTGATACAGGATATGGATTAGTTAGGAAAGCAAGAGTTTAGAACAGTTTCAGATAGAGACTAGGTAAGATTTTGTAGTAGAGGGTGGAAATTTAGTTATTTTTATGATACTTCTGATGGAGTGGTCTGTTTGACTTAAGCATTTAGTGTAAAGTAGGCAACTGTGTTTTATTTATATTTTATTTTATTTTTATTTTTTGGTACTGGGGATCAAACTCAGGACCTTGCGCCAAGTTAGGTGCAGTGCCACTGGGTCAAATCCCCAGCCCCTCAGAAATTTAGTTTTTATTGCTATTTAATAACAGCTTTAACAGCTTTACTAGGGCCGGGGATTTAGCTCCGCGGTTCGGTGGCCTGCCTTGCAAGCGCAAGGACCTGAGTTCAATCCCAAGTACCAAAAAAGAAAACCCCAAAAAAGCAGCTTTACTGAGATAGAACTTATTTATAAAATTCAGTTTTTCTTTTTGGCTTGCACATCTGCAATCTCAATGGCTTGGGAGGCTGAAATAGGAAGATTGCAAATTTAAGGCCAGCCTGGGCAACTTAATGAGGCCCTGTCTCAAATTAAAAGGGGTAGGGCCGGAGATTTAGCTCAGTGGTTCCGCCGTGTGCCTTGCAAGCACAGAAATAAAATATAAAATGGGTAGGTGGGTGGCTCAGCAATAAGAGTGCTTACTTAGCACGCGTGAGAGCCTTAGTTCAATCCCCAGTACAAAAACCAAAACCACCATATAATTCAAAGTTGTTGGTTCTTTTAGTATATTTATGGAATTGTGTGGCCATCATGACTGTTTAATTTATAGCTTTTTTGTTTTGTTTTGTTTTTTTGGTAGCGGGGATGGAACTCTGGTCTTTGCACTTGTGAGTCAGGCGGTGGTACCACTGAGCTAAATCCCTGACCCTAATGTAGAAATTTTGGTGTCCCATGGGGAGTTTGTGTTTAAAGTTAAGTTACCCTATTGTTTCATATTTTAGCTGTGTAACTTCATGGAGTGTTAACGTAACATTGGCTAATTCACTAGTTAATTATAAAAATGTAGGATAGGTGTTTCTAAGTTTTCATTTAGTAAAATTTGGTAGGAGTAATGGTGTCCATTTTAAAATTGTGGAGTTTTTAATGCTTGGAACAAGCTGAAATTATCTCCAGAAAGTTAAAAAAAAATTTTTTTTTAATCCAAATACTTTGTACTTTTGGATTTTTTTTTTTTTTTTTTGGTACCAGGGATTGAATTCTGGCCATTGTGCTTGCCAGGCAGGCACCAGAACCACTGAGCCAAACCCCCAGCCCTGTTCTTTGGATTTGAGTTTAGTTGAACAGAGTATTTGTTTGTTTGTTTGTTTTCCCCGCTTGAAGATAAGAGAAGGTAATTTTCTTGTTTTTTTGTTATACTGTATTTTTTGTCTTCTTAAAAAATGAAATATTCTTGAAATTTTTGGGGAAATTATTTGTGTAACTGTAATGGTGGAAAGCTTTAATACCTTTGCGCTCCCCGCCTCAGTTTAAAGCACTTTATCATTAATTAAGCACAGTTTAGGAAATTCATGTTCTTGATAAACGTTTACTTTCAGAAACCGTGACGAAAACTGAGTCTGTGAGCCCTGGCACCTGCAGTCCGCAAAGATGAAGGACATCGACATAGGAAAAGAGTACATCATCCCTAGCCCTGGCTACAGAAGTGTCAGGGAGAGAAGCAGCGCCTCGGGGCAGCGCCGAGAGCTCCGAGAGCGGGAGCAGGATCGGGAAGAATCCAAGTTCAAGAGAACTCGACAGGTCTGGAGTCCTTCTCTCGTCTGCCTGTTGCACAGATCTGCACCTCACCTCCTTTCTTTGTGCAATGCCTCATTTAAATATTTATTTTTCTTTATTAGCTCTGTGTTGCTGTTGAGAATAGCTCAGTGGGGCATCATGTGCTTAGCACAAAGAAAGGAATTTATGGTTAATTATGAAGGAGTCCTGGGCCCTTAGTAAGCGCTCAACAAATGGAAGGAGAGGGTGTATCGAAATCTCTCTCAACTATTTCTTTGTTAGTGACTCCACATTTTTTTTTTTTTTTTCACTTTTTCTTTTGGTACAGGGATTGAATTTGGGTCCCTGCGCTTGTGAGGCAGGCAGCAGAACCACTGAGCTAAATCCCCGGCCCTAGTGACTCTATTTTGAAGCCTTCTGAAAAGGCTTCGACTAGAAGACGACTTACAAGCAAGCAGGCTGGGTAGAGAGGAATATGAACTCTTAAGCTTTGTTATTGTACTTAAACAAGATTGGTTTTATTCCTTCTGTCTCTGTCTGCATTTAAAATATGAATCCTTTGGAGAGACATGCTCAGATTTCAAGGAGTGAACGGCAGTAAATTTTTTAGGTAAATTCATGAATGTAAAGCAGTCTTTAAAATCTTTTCCTCCAATAGAAACAGTTAAGATATACTGTAAACTGGAGAGTTTTATTCCCCTGTGAGAAAAAAAAATTATACTTTTTTGGGGGGCGTTTTTTGTGACAGGGTCTCACTATGTAGTTGAGACTGAGCTGGAACTTACTATGTAGCCCAGGCTGGTCTCGAACTCACAGCGATCCTCCTGCCTCAGCCTCCCGAGTGCTGGGATTACAGGCGTGTGCCACCACGCTCGGTACATTTTCTTGAATTGCAAAGGTAGCTATGGGCAGAATAGGGGTGTCTGGGTTTAGGAAGTTGAGGTTTATGTTCATGCTTTTGAAATATGAAAATTTAAGAAAGAGAGGGACTTTGCTGTTGACCTGGCCTTTCTTATCCTGAACAACCTGTTCCTCTTTGGTGCAAAAAAAAAAAAAGAGCCATTGCGTATTAGTGAGTATTTTCTCTGATAGATCTTTAGAATGTGTATCTAGGGTACTGTATTTAGAATGCCTTGCTATTCAGGCTTACCTTTAGGAAAACATAGATTCGGTATGATCAGTGTTAAATACGTCTTTGGTGCCAGTTTGATAACTTCTTTGTGTCCTTCGTCTAGACCTTGTGTTAATTAAACATTGAATGTAGCTGAGTGCTAGACGTGACACCCTTGTGGAATATTCACAGAGGTGACATTGGAGTGGGGCTTTCAGGGGTGATTGGCTGGGGAGGTGCTTTGGGCCATAGAAGGAATGACCTTAGGAAGAGAAAAGGTACATGGTGTATCGGGAGCGTAGATGCCGTCGTAGTGGTTTATGTTTAATGCAGTGTCAACACTGATACTTAACTCCTAGGACCACTGAGAGTTGAGTGAGGTGACCCATATAAAACACAGCCTTACCTGGTATGCTCATTGCTCCGTAAATATTAGCTCTTGGAACTAGTTGTATAGCATGTAGGGTCTGTAAAGGAGAAGGAAGATTCTGGGTGCTGTGCCGAGGAACCTTTCACTATGGGCACTGGGGAGCTGTTGGAAATTAATGAGAATATTTTAACCCTTTATTTTGAGATAACTAGGTTTATATGCAGTTAGAGAAAATCATGCAGAACGTTCCTTTGTGTACCTGTTCCAATGTCCTCCTCGTGGTAACATTTTGCAGAGCTATCCTCTGTATCACAGCAGGATGTTGATGCGCACTGATAGGGTCCATTGACTTCATAAGGATTTCATCGTGTATTTTACGTGTATTCACGGGGATAGGAGGATACGCCTCCTATGCAGTTTTCTCCCGCATTTACATCTGTTTGACGACGGCCGCAGTCTGGACACTGAAGCCCCATTGCAAGGATTTCTCATGCCACACTTACCAGCCATTGGCGCCTTCCCCTGCCTCCCTGCCAACCTCTAGCCTTTCTCACATCTGAAATTTTGTCATTTGAAGAATGCAACTATATAGATGGAATCATGTATTATGTAATCTTTGGGGATTGATTTTTTTTTTTTTCACTTAGTCTAATTCCCCTGGTAACCACCTGATTTGTTAGGTGCTTCAGTGATTCCTTCCTTTTTGTTGCTGAAAATTCTGTGTTATACCGCAGTTTGTTTAATCATTTATCCATGGAAGGGCATTTGAGTCACTTTTGGTTTGTGACAGTTAACAAATAATCGCGCTTTTAACATTCCTTTATGGGATTTTGATTTGTTTTGTTTTGTTTTTTTTGGTACCAGGGATCGAACTCGGGACCTTTCGCTTGTAAAGCAGGTGACAGAACCACTGAGCTAAAACCCTGGCCCCTGTATGGGATTTTGTGTAAACAGAGCTTTCATCTTTTTGGATGGAAGTCTAGTACTCTTAATTGCTGGGTTGTATGGATAAGTGCATACTTAGTTTTATAAGAAGTGGCGATACTCATTCCCAGAGTGCTTGTATCATGTTACATTCCCGGCAACAGTGATGAGTTTTTCTGCATTCTTGCCAGTATTTGGTATTACCGTTTTTATTTGAACCATTCTGATAGGTATGTCCAATATCTCACTGTGGTTTTACTTTGCCTTTCTCTAATGGCTACTAACACTGAACTGAGATTTTTGTTTGTTTTTGAGACAGAGTCTCATTATGTAGTTCAGACTGGCCTTCAACTCACTTTGTAGCCCAGGCTGACCTTAAAATCACCGAAATTTTCCTGCCTCAGCCTCCTAAGTGCTGCAACTATAGGCATGTGCCACTAAGTTGGCTTCTGAGAAGGTATTTTTAAAACTAGATATTTATCTTAGAAAGGCTAGTCTTGAAACAATGCAGAAAAATCCTGTGCAGGAAAAAGACAAAATACAGGAGTAGTCGGGAGGCTGCTGAGCCATTCCAAGTGAGAGAGGTCAGGGGTCTGCTTCAGAATGTAGAAGTGAAAGTGGGGGAGGCAGGAGGTTGAGGGGCCTCTCTGGAAGGGGAGGAAGGGTGTGGAACTTCTGGGGTTGGTGGTGAGGACTTAAAACTGTTAGTGGACCTGTGGGAAAAGACTTGGGAGAAAAGTGAGTGCCTGATCGCTTCTCAGCCTCTTGGTTAAGATCGAGTGTGAGGAGTAAGTGCTTGTGAACGTGTGGGATTTGAGATGTGTTCAGGGAAAATTATGAGTAGGTGGAGTATAGACAAAAAACAGAGTAAGGAAAACCTGGGAGCCATTAGTGCATCCACGTAGATGAAGCCATGGGAGAGAGCAGGCTTTGCCCCGGGATGGCCGGTGGCGCCTGTGGAGCGGAGTGTGACCCTGTGATGCTCCTGGGCAGGCTCCTGTCACTCTGTTGGACAGGGAGTGCAGGGGCGGCAGCAGACAGTACCTCAAAGTAACACAAGATAAGGATACATCTTGTTTTTATAATTGGAAAATAAAGTTTCATTTACTCCTGTTAGCCTTTGATAGATCCAGTTAACGTGGAGATTGTCAAAGGAGTGTCAGAAGTGAAGGACCAAGGAACCTGTTCCAATTTTGCTTTCTTTCTTTTTTTTTTTTTTTTTTTTTTTTGTTTGGTACCGGGGATTGAACTCGGGTCCTTGAGCTTGCGAGGCAGGTGGTAGAACCACTGAGCCAAATACCCGGCCCCCTGTTCCAATTTTGAACGGGTCAATGCTGTAAACAAAGATTCAGAGACACCGTTTGGCTATTTCTTAGGGTTATGACCAAATCTTTCTTTTGGAATGCTCTGAGAAAACTGTTCTAATCAGTCATGTCTCTTGTAGTTTCCTGCATATGCTCGGAGATCATTGGGTAAAAATGATGCCTTTCACGTGTACTCCTCCAGGACTAAAGTCAGTGCCTGTGACCACACACAGCCTGATGCTCTGCAGACACCCTTCAGTCCTCAGTGTTCAGAGCCATGCCATCCATTGCTGTTAGTTCTTTGAGCCTAGGAGCTAACTGGCTGACTTAGGGCTGGCACTGTTTCAACTCCTTTGAAGATTTGTATCCAGCCCATTACTGAGCACTGTTACAGTGCCTGAGGCCCGATTCTTTGGACACAGATGTTTTTCTTAGAATTGTGTTCATTATGCACATGAAGATCATATGTGTCCACAAGCCCCGAAGTTTTTGTTCTCGTGCTTTTTGGTGGTCCTGGGGCTCGAACCCAGAGCCTCCTGCATGCCAGGCATATACTTTATCACTGAGCTACACCCAACCCAGATTTGCTTTCTTAAGATACAGTGGTCACTCCTTTTTTATTCAGTAAATGTTTGAGCACTCTCCAAAACCTAGGGGTCTGGTGCAGATAAAGATTAATGGCTGCTGGGCCTGCCTGTCCTCCAGCAGATGCAGGAGCTCACAGAGATTACATAGGTTACTGTAATTTTGAGTCTTGTGGGAATTAACAAAGAAGTGCGTCTCCCTTGGAGGGGACGGGAGGGAGCATTTGACGAGCGATGGGGAGGAGTCAGTAGAATGAGGAGAAGTGAGGGTGCCAGGCAGAAGAAAGAGTTGGGGGTAGAGAGACAGCCAGGCCCTGTTGGCCTTAAACATGTGTGAAGTCCAGTAAAGAGGGCGAAGTCAAAAGGAAAAGAAAAAATAAATCCGAACAGGGCTATGTCAGTGAGTTTCAAATTATGGGTGTTCTTGATTGATAAGTTAAGGAGTTTGGGTTTAATTGTTTCAATTCAGTATTTAGGCAAAAACAAGACAGCACTGTCATATTTTTGATGAAGTTTTGCTTTATTGTGCTGATGGTTTTTCTTGGTGCTCCCTGTCCAGTGCTGAGAGTGACTTGTTTTTCACTAGCGTGTCCAATCTGGGAGAGGAGGAAGAATGGGAAATAAGCAGAAGTCAGCAAAAGTTCACATGCCATTATTACTGCATTATTTTTCCCTTCTCTCAAAAACACCACTGGTGGAATTTTCCTTCAAGTTGGGATATTCTTCATCTA